GCGTCTCAAGATCTTGGATGACATGATCCGAGAAAAGACATGTACATTCAATATTTTTGAATATATTCCGCATCGTTTACGAAATTCTGTCAATTGCTTCCGCCGCCGCGAGGCATTGCAGACCCTGTATAATCTCGACCACCAAGAAGATCATAATGAAGTGACCGAGCTTGATTAGTGGCTTCATGTCAACCAAACTAAACGGCTCTTTTCAGGGTCACCACATATTCCAAAAAGAGAGAAGCCGTAATTTTAAATGATTAATATCATCAGATTGTGGCGAGTGTGATCGAATTTTCGTTTATTTGAATTTACTGCTATACATACTGTCAGGGCGACGTCATACATCAATCATACTGATATTCCTCACATCACTGCTTGTACTATAAAAATTCAACATTGACAGTTGTGTGCAACGTTTCTTCGAAGCTGCCATGGCTGACGTGTCAATCTGAAATACGTTTGACCCGCTGTGTATCAAAGTGTCAACGCGCTCAGTAATAAATATAAACAAAGTACACGCCACTGGCTTACCATGTTTGATTTCAAATCGTGTACAAACCGAATACGTTGTTGCTCGAAGCTTTTCTATTTTAGGTTTTAAAAAAAACTCCCAAACTCAGGGGGCAACTTCCCCCCTTGCCCCCGCTAGCTACGGCCTTGATGACATACGTGTATTTCAAACTGTTCTTGTTTAATAAGTTAATAAAAAAAAACTTAGTTTGGGGAGCGAAACAAAATGGCGGACTGGTATATAAGAAAGGAGTTTAAGAACTCAGCCGTGTCATCTTGCCTAATAATGCCAGCCTGAGTACCAGGATGACCAATCAGGCCAATTTAAATCGGCATCGGTTTTGATACTTTCAATTCTAGGTAAGATGGTACTTTATTGTTTCATGAAAACAATTTGAATAGGAAAGACGCTCAATGATGTAAAGCAGCCCTTGTCGTCTGCAGACAGTAATGACAGCACGAGACATGAGAGCAGACAATGTAATACTGGTAACTTTATTGACAATCGCACATTCTACCATAGCCCCTCAACAAAGGACTATGATTTCACAGAAGAATAATGATTACAATGGTTACAAAGCCCCGCCAAAAGAGAAGGGAAGATGCATAAAAAATGTGTATAACATTTTAGTGAAAAATAACTTATTGAAATCGAAGAAACAAAACGAAACGGGATAACACACATAATGAAAATTAAACTGTAATCAGTGAAAATGGGTTTTATACGCACAATATTTGCAAAACATTTGCCTAAAATAACAATATTTAATAAGTATATGGTTCATTTCGCGAATTACAGATAATCAAAAATCTGTGATCAGCGAAACAGGGGTCTTACACGTACAATATTCACAACTGTCGGTCGAAATTTGACCAATATATTCACCTTTCAGTAGTATACATTGTATATAACGACATAAAACATTTGACGGCAAAGTCAACTTCCTTAGATGTAGGTTTGAAGCCTTCATTCGAGCCCAAAAATAAGTCTTACGTTAACAGGTGTTTTTTCAACCTCATTTTTCTTAATAAAATGAAATTTTCATCTTCCACAAGTCATATACTGTGTGATTAGTCTATTAATAATCTTTGTTTAAAGAAAAAAACATTTACATTTCTTTGCAAATTTTAGCTTCATATACTTTGAGAAATCTGTTCGTATTTTAACTAAACTTGAAATTGCAAATAACCACCACAGCAGTAATTTGTAAATAACTGAAACAAATTGCATTTGATGCCGACTTTTGGTATGCCAGAGTGCGATCAGCCAATCACCGGCTACAGTCGTTGGCACGATCACGTGATTACCAAGGATGGGTTCTCACAGTTAAAGCATTGCAAAGTTGTCACTACTATGACTAAATACGATTAGTAAACAAACTATTTATAAAATACCTCTAATCACCGTCCCTATATGTTATTGTCTACCCTAAACATGCAAGTTGTTATTTCTAAACAATAATGCAACGGCGTGTGAACCAAATGTGCGTATGGAATGTGATTATGGTAACATAACGCAACATTTAAAGCGTTAATATTTTAAGTATTTTACTGGTCCGTTCTCACTCCAATGAAAATACCATACCATTATTCAAACATTTCGCATAATAAATCTAAGTCAGCAAAAATGTAACTAAGTATCAAACATCAAATGTAGTGGCAGGATTGGCCAGTTAAGCCACGAGTGTCATATGTCAATTCCAGAAAGCCACGAGCATAGTTGTCCATTTCAGTTACTTACTTCCATAGCCACGTTTTCTTGCTTTGTTTACATTCTATTATAATTGTCTCTTCACATATGTTTATCCATGGAGGTAGAAAAAGTCCATCTCCATGGTTTATCTAATCACTGGTACTGAAGGATAAATTTAATAGTATCAAAGTAGTGGGGGTCTGCGAATTAGTATTCAGGGATTTTTTTTTAAACAAGGTAACAGGGGTGCAGCGCCCTCATGCCATGGCCATGCACACCTTACCCTGGGGAGCAGATCCTCTGGCAACTATAAAATTCTGATTGACCAGAGATCACATGTGGCCAGTCTTCAACTGTGACCTGTCTGATAGTAATTTTGCCCCTAAGGAAGCCATGAAATGCTCCATTTTAACTTAGAATTATCAAAAACTCCACACACTGGTAGGGAGAATCCTATGTCCCCCACTTAGTGGCGCCGCTAAATTGCAGTGCTCCATTATTCCAGAAAAAAACCCTGGTATTAGTAGAGAATTTCACCAACAATGACAAAAAAAATTAGAGAATTCAAAATGTCATCGCGAAATGTTCAATTCTAATTGATATCCACCTAAGGTGAAAGTATACCAAGTATTGAAGAAATTGAAATATTTTTTTTTACCAAGTCAGAAATTGTTGACGAATGGGGGATGAACTAACAATGGACAATCACCTACATGATGAACAGGTACACTTGTCATCTAAACTGACACCAAAGCTAAAAATTGCAGGCCAATATTTTCACCAATTACACCACAGCACATTGTCTTATGTTGATGCATTGCTTAAACCTCTAAAACTTGTGTATCAATTATTTTAGCGGGGAAAAAAACTACAGAGGTTTGGGTACTGGCATTTCAAGAAATATCAGTATAAGTATAAGTATAAAATGCCCAAAATGTCAGACTTGTGATTAGAGAAAAAGGCAATGGGTGGGAGTAAATGATTCCTTAAGCAAAATCTATTTCAGACACTTCATAATTTGAAGGAGAGTTTCATATTTATTATGACAATGTGTGTTCTCTTTTTCATAGCATTTTAAAACTTTTACGAGAGTGAGACATTACATTTATACAACAAGTCTGGTACATGTGATTTTCAATACATACACACTGGTATTAAGTGACAATACCGATACAATGATCGAATAGTGATGACGAACATGCTAACAGATATATTGAACTAAGTTTCAATTCGAACAAGTAAAAAAATACTATTGATACAAAAAGTAGTGTCATTGTGATCAAAATAACAAAAGCTTGAAATTTAACCAAATAATTAAATTTGATTTCCATGGTTTACTTTCACAACATTATTTTGTCAGTAACCGAGTGGGTCTTTGTTGTCATCCAATAACTGGAGTGAAGATTCTCGCATCATTTGCAGGAGTCTCTGAAGTTCCTCCTTACGGAACACCTGTAACAACAAATGAACAAACTATTAAAATTGAAAAAATACTCAATAAATATTTATTCGAGTCAAATTCAAATGGTGTACTACTCACCACGATATTGCACACAGATATGCAATGCATTATGGGATATATCCTCATATATAATGGACAACTATTATCACATTCAAATGCACAAAATTAAATGTAAAAATATAAATTTTTTTAGGATTAGGATTCATATCAATAACAAAACATGATTATTTCATTCTGTTTCAACAAGCAACATATTGAGATATGAAAAAATAATTTAACCATAGCAACTAATGCAAAAATAGAAAATTTGAGTATTTTCCATGTTCCTCGAAAAATTGTCCAGAATTTTATTTTCCTTTTCCTGGTTGTACCAAAAAATATGACCAGCAATAATATATTTTTACCAGGGTCTATTGACTGTCGACAGTCGGTCATACCTAATAATAATCTGTTATTATTAATAAATATTGTGTATAAACATAATAGGCGTGAATAAATTGCAAACGCCAGGACAGGAAGTATGGAATGCAGTTAGGTAAGATTTCTTACCAGATATGGGTACTTTCATATGCAAATGTAGTCGCACAGATGACTATCATTTTATCGTGGCCAATCTACTACTAGGCTACTAGGATCGCCCAGGACTAAGGTGAAGTTTCATTTGACTGTACTATACACGATCGCGAAAATTCTTGACTAATGCATTATAAAAGTGTTGGAACGTTTAGACTACCATGATATTTCTTGCAAAGAATACCAGCGAGACACTAACACAAACTACACAGACATTCATCTTGTCAAAAAGAAGTCGTTTCGAAACCCATCTTCAGTTTCAGTTTTCTTGGAGGAAAATGTCTGCGACCTATCCAATAACTCTCTCTTAGTTTGTTGAAATTTCTCCCTGAACTCGATCATATTTTTATGCAGAGTCGACGCTCTCATTCCACATTTTCTACAGGCATACAAACTGGCAAAATTTAGATCGATCGTCTCTGCCACAACAAATACGATTACTTTGTTGATGCCGCGAAACAGTCACCTCTGGTTTGACTGCCTATTTGATTTGCTATTTTGGTTGTAGTGACTGTACTCATTGTGTTCATAACGTGAACAACCAATGCATTTAGGGTGTCATTTAGAATAAATTTGCACACATTATGTTAATATATTTATTTCATGACGTCAGCATCAACTATGAATTATTCATATCAACTAGAAACCTGCAGACGGGGACTGTCTCTCGGGACTAAAGTTCCTCACGTGAAATGGGTCACATTTCCCATCAAACACCTTTGACAATCGAATATCAAGGAAACACAATAATTAGGCCTGAGGACTGTCGACAGTCTACTGAGTCGAGTGCTACATTGTCATAATGTGTGTAAACAAGGTATTCAAAAGCAGTGTAAATGTGGTGCACATACCAAAAAACACAAAGGTTTTTGTTTTCAGATGAATAATAAAAACAATGTATTATTCAATCTACCTTGTATAGTTGGTGTTCTTCACTGGCTATGACATCAGCTAGTTGTATACATCTCGTATACTGTTTGGTATTATGGAGTACAGAATGCAGTAAGGAACACATACTGGGAATACATAGTTGCCGTAGTAACATCATCTGATGTGTCCTGCCACTATCTCCCATATCATCTTCCTCCTGTAAAAACAGCAGCACAATATTAACAAAAGCACCACTGTCCACATGCAGAACAAGCTTGAATTTTTTGAACAAGCACACAGACCAATATATAAAACTATAATTTGAAATGGACGCTATTCAAATACTGTTTTTATACGTGATCTCTCTGACATTTTGCAAGGTTACTCTCAATAAATCATTGGAAAAATTTGAATTTTGTCAACATTAAAAGAAGCTAAGATAAATCATATTTTAATCAATTTTGTCATCTTCCTGATGTACCCTAATGCTCATAAGATAATATGTAGAATCATTTTATTTTTATTCTCACTGTTTTCTACTGATTTACTGTACTGACAGCTGCTCAAAATCTACCAAATAATTGTTGACTTTTAGTAATTTCTTTTTATTTAAAATGACTATCATTCATTCAAACAAGTTGTTATTCTTTTTCATCACTTTCAGTGGGTACGATTCAGGGGTTAATGAAATAAAATTGGCATATGTTAGTTGAATGATATATTTTATAATGTAGAACACAAATGATATATGTGAGGTAGATGCTATACATAGTGATACCAAGTATTTGTTGGTAAATTTGTTATGAAGTGCCGCAATTGAAATAAGCTCAAGCAAAAATAATATATTGAAAAAATATTGTTGTTCATGCCATGAGTACAGAATTTCCTAGGCAGACAAGGAATAATGCAAATTGAGGCAGTTTGACCCCTTTCAAATTTTACTTTACTGAGCTTGTCACTACACCTATATGCATTATAGGAATGAACCTTCCATTTTATATTATGCAAAACACAATAACAATAAACATTTTTGAGATATGAAGAAATAATTCCACCATAAAACCAGTGTAAAAAACGACAATTTTGACCATTGTCCATGATATTTGGGACTCTTGTATCTCGAAAAATTGTCTGGTGACTATAATTCTTGTTTTCTTATTGTCAGTATCTTGATAGTTCAAACTCATAATGATGAAAGTATGGATGAACTTGACAAATAATTTACATGGCAGCTTGAACCTATTTAAGATATCCCACCAATAAATTGTAAAATTTATCATTGTTCATTCTTACCTCTCGTTGATCAACCATCCATCCCCCGTCTGGAAACAATAACACATTGTATATGCATTCCACAACAGTCTTACTTTGTAAAATTAATGAATACTGCCATCTATCGACTTCTTGCTGAGGAAAGTAAGATACAGAAAACATTTTTAATATTAAAAATCAAAATCTTGTGAACAGTTTGTCAAATTTCATTCATTTATTCACTGATTGAGCAATATAAGTTTGACTTTCATTTTTTTAATATTTTCTAATACGAGAAGTAATAAATTTGATACTAGACAAATTTTCACAGTTTTGTGTGATATCGTGGTCGCATGTCACCACACACACAGACACAACTTTGCTATCACACTCTTTTTATAAAGTTCATCACATGTCAATTACACTTGTTCTGACCAATAGCAGATAGATGTTGTTGGTTATCATTGAAATAGCAAATGTGAGAAGATAATTTAAAATAAGGACAAAAATGCGTCTGATTTCTGGAATTCATGGATACTGGTACTATATACTAAATAAAAAATGTCGCTGTGACTACCTGTCTAAAGAACATTGAAAAACTATAAGGAATTCACGTTACTTGGCTTACCTCGTATTGCTTAACTTCATGTTCGTGTTTAACACGTTCTTGGAATGTTGCGGATGGTGCTATTGTTGGCTTTGAGGGTGCAGCATTATGGTAATGTTCGAACCAATCATTGAATGCATCATGGGCATCCTGTAGGAAAAAATAAATAATTATTACCAGTAGTAGAGATGACTGTATGAAATGAAACTGTAGAAAACAATACATTTTAATATCCAAAATTTTTTATAAAATTATCTAAAGGAACATGGATTGATCTCAATATATCCTGTTACACATTTAGTGATATCATGCTTGATTTTAAAGGGCAGTGGTTGCCACACTGCACATGTGCAACATTTGTTTTGACAAACATTGACTTTTCCACAATCCAATGCGTTCTTCTAATGGAAATAACAAGTATGAGGTTTTACCTTGGCACAAATTGCACTAATTACTGCCGGTGACTCCTTTGATACCTTCTAATCAACTAAAAAATGCCTAATTAAAGTACTCCTTGATCTGCTCAACAGTCAAAGTCGGCATCTTTGTTTATATGAGACCCATATATCTTGCGCATGTGTGGCACGACGAATATCGCACTTTAATATTCATCACACAGATTGGGGTGACAATGCTTGATTGTGTTAATCATAAAGCAAACATGAGTGGCACCAATATTGAAAATAATATTTCACTGAAAGAAAAAACATTGCATAATGACAACACATAACATGAGAGTGTACATACCAGATATGCTTTAACACATATGTATTCTCTGATAGCATTATCATCTTCTGGTAGCTGAGGTGCACTGCCAGCCTGTGACTGCCAATTCTTAGTAATCACATCTATAGAATCACTTGGAATCTTATTAAATACTTCACGACATGCCTTGTACTTCCTAGTGGCTGCCAAGGATAAAAAATCAGAGTTGAATGCATATGCGACATATAACAAGTTTAGTATTACAAGAGTCATACACATCCCTTATATCTGGTAAACAGAAACACTGGATGTGTTCCAAATGAGAGTCAATTCAAATACTTTCCTTATATACATGTGTACTTTAACAAATTTTATTTTTGATATTTTCTGTGAAGAGATGCCAGAGTCTGGGGAAATACAAACTATCTAATATACGTTTTTTTCCAAATTTCACATTCATCTCATCAAAACTCAATGAAAATAAATTCCATACAAAACACCAAAAAAGTCTTCAGCGAAAATTAATTCCAGCTAAAATAAAGTATTTTGCAGTAGTGTGGGATGGAAATATAATTCTATCACTGAATGTATATGTCCATGCAGACAAGAATCTGATATTAAATGTTGTTTGCTGGCATTTTTTGGTCATTATCTATCTTTATGTTAAATTATTACTATAAAGAGGTAAAAGATGTACAACAATAAGGTTTTCATGGAAATACAGCAAAATAGGGAGAACAGGACTGCATAAACCTTCCTATACATACATTTCAGTTGATACAAGTGCCATGCAGCTTTCATGCATACTCCGGGGTATTCTTGTAATAATCTCATAACACCAGGAAGAAAAACAAAATGGCTTTATTTTCACTTTGTTATAATCGAAGTAAATCGGAAGGTTTCCAAGTTAATATCTACTTGTGAACATTATGGCCTGCACATATACAACCTCTGCAACGTTGATTCACACACTACTGCATTAGAATGACTTACCTAAGAAGGTTCTCATGACAGCATTGCTTTGTTTTAATGCTTCTGCCCTCTGTGAGGGGTCAAATACCAACCAGTCAATGGCAGCTATCTTTTGTTTATCCTCCTAGTTTGGGAAAGATGAAATATTCAAACTGTTAACATTGATTACAAGCTAGGAAAATAAGGTGTTTTTAGTAAAACATGAGTACTTTGTGACAAATGTTGGTTATATACATGTCAGAAGTGACCTGCTTACTTATATCCCATGAAAAAGACGTAGAACTAACATGCTCTATTGCCTTCTGTTTTTAACCTAGTACTTCAAAAAGAAGTAGAAGTTACAGGGACACTGTTTTCCTTAATCCTTGCCGGAAAAACCAACAATATTTATTAAAATACTATAAATGCTTTTGTTATTCATTTGGTTTTAATTTTTCTGATAAGTGAAATCTGCTAAATTAAATCCTATGTGAAAATGAAAAAAAAGAGTCTCACTGTAAAACTTTTAAATTTAAAATCTATAATTGTTGACTCTATATACCTCTGAGATGGCAGCTTCATTAGCTGATGTTGAATCTGTTTCCATGGTGATATCCCCAGCATCTCTTGTTCTGATGTTTTCCACTACAGTTTTCGTGATAGTTGGAATGTCAAGACCTGAAGTGGGAAAATAAGAAAGTCCTTTTCAATAAATGCAATAAAATCATAGACATTATAGTGAGTCCTACTAAATTGCATATGATTAAGAGGGCATCTATCTTGTTAACCAAAATATAACCACATGAGATGAGAAAGACAACATACCTGCTTCTTCAGCTAGTACAAGACATTGTTGTCTTTCTTCTTTCTCATGAATTCCTAGAATAAACAGAGTAATAATGATGTCACTTGATGCACAAACAATATATTATAACTAGCCCATTGTAATAGCCTATTGTAAAAGTCAATACCATGTGATGATCTGTTTCAATAGTCGCCAACAGTCAAACTTTCTGAACTGTCAATCACAGAACAAACCTGTACATTTTTTTTCTAATAGTTTTTCAAATGTTTTACTCAAGAGTGTAGGCAATAGAAAATGTGTTCATTTGGTATGAAATTAAAGAAATTAGAGAAGGATTTAGTAAATGTTCCACCGAGACATATACCGGTAGGTTGAGTGACATTTTGAGTAAACTCACTAATGACATTGAACCTGATGGTAGTGCATCTTGAGAATTTCAAAATACTGTGTGTCTGTGTGCAGGGCACTCAGTGATGGTTATTTTACGTGTCAAATAAATCATATTAGATCATACTATTTTTTCAGTTGGGTGTAAACTTGTTCTTTATCCAGGGGATATCAATAATAATAATAATAACTTTATTGCATCCTTAAATAATACAATGTTTCTATCAGTTAATAGCAATAAAGATTGGTTGTGATGACTACTACTATCATGCAGCAGTAGTGAATTGCAAATTCCAAGAATGAGCATTAATGATACATACTGCACATCTTGCCACAAGAAATATACTGTAAATTGCTTATTTTTTGCTATTAGAGATTTTTGCAATTTCATGATTTTATGGCATTTGTTAAAATAAAATTTAGTGAAAATAACTCAGTGAAAATAAAATTTTGTGTATCACAAAATTTAAGTGGTTTACAGAACTCCATAACAACATAACATTGGCTGTGTAAAAAGGCCAAATATGTTATATACCCTGCTATCCAAACCAAACCCAATATAAATAAAAATCAGGATACTAAAATAAAAAAACACCACATAAAAATCAGTGTTATTGTTTCCTAACTCACCTTCTAGGAAATGAGCATAGCATGTAACTTGCATCGGTGGTGGCAGTGTAGATGTGTACGTGGCAACTAATAAAGTATTCTTATCCTCAATCAGATCCTATCAAACAAACCAGGATTTGATTACAAGCAAAGATTAAGATAAGGGTATGCAACTAAAAGATCTCAATATGAAGTTACATGTATAGGTGATTTTCCTTTTTATCACGTGATCTCACATATGCGTGAATGTTACATACCAAACTTTTGTGTTGAAAAACAAATGATTTGGACTTTTCTGACTTCATCAAAATTTACTGTAAGAAATAACTCGAAAATACTTTAATTTGCATTTGTCTCACACGATGTTTGATATCACTACAATGCTATGTATTTTTTGTCCTGTTTTTTTTTATGTTCAATTTCACACATAATGTAGGATCTTGCAGTAAACGAAAAATAGAAAGTGAGATGATCACTAAATAATAAGAGTCTGTGAAAGACTTGGTTAGTGTTTATCACAAGTTGCTTTGTTAGTGTCTTTTGGATGATTTTTGATGAAGACAAGTAGAAGTAACCATAGTAACCAGCAGGACTACTTTGATATAGATGACAAAACCTACCCTGACATAGGCTTCCAGAATTGCAGTACATAACTCTTCTTTTGTTTGCAACCCAACGGCTCTAAAGAACAGTACAATATGCGCCATAAACCGAATTAGATGGGTCGATGACCTCAATGTAGGATTATGTAACCAGTCATTCATTTCTTCAATTAAACCTGAAATAAAAAAAAAAATACACAAAATTGTACAAAAATGGATATTTAAAAGACTTCATATATTAAATCCTCTGCACGGGTTACTATCTGTGTTACTATTAAACCATCATCACAGACAATCAATCAAGTTCACTGGCAAGGAAACATTGAATTGTTATTTTACATGTTCATGTGGATTTATTAAATTAGCATATTTTATGTACTGGTGAAAACCAGTGGATAACTAAAGTATTTGCAGTAATTACTTTCATTCCCCAATTAAACAGTTCTATCATGCCATCTTTTTTTAAAGCCTTCCTTTAAGGATTTCCCTCTTGGGCTTCAGCAGTTTTATCATTTCTGTTCTGCTCAAATCCAATTCGTTGTTTCAAGTGAATGTTAAGTTATTCTGTCATTGTTTGTTATTTAAACAAGCAGCCTGTCGGCTGAGATAGCTCCGCTGTTAGCAATGCACATTTCAATTAAAGAACAGAAGATATCAAAAGAAAATGAACAATATGTATAGTATCAAAGCAATGGGACTTGCTGTTTTCAACAAGAATTCAAAAATATCACTTTTCACTAAAAATTACAAAAACAATCATCAAAATTAGATAATTGAAGATATCACCATGAAATTAACAAATCTGAAAGAGGTCCACATGTAGTACCTATACATGTAATATCAAAGCAATTGGACTTGTAGTTTTTAACAAGAAGTCAAAAATATCACTTTTTACTAAAAATGACAAAAATATTCACCAAAATTAGAGATTAAAGGTATCATTACAAAATGAAAAAATCTGAGAGAGATCCACATGTAGTACCTATATATGTAATATCAAAGCAATTGGACTTGCAATTTTTAACAAGAAGTCAAAAATATCACTTTTTACTAAAAATGACAAAAATATTCACCAAAATTAGAGATTAAAGGTATCATTACAAAATGAAAAAATCTGAGAGAGATCCACATGTAGTACCTATATATGTAATATCAAAGCAATTGGACTTGCAATTTTTAACGAGAAGTCAAAAATATCACTTTTTACCAAAAATGACAAAAACATTCACCAAAATTAGATAATTGAAGATATCACCATGAAATTAACAAATCTGAAAGAGGTCCACATGTAGTACCTATACATGTAATATCAAAGCAATTGGACTTGTAGTTTTTAACAAGAAGTCAAAAATATCACTTTTTACTAAAAATGACAAAAATATTCACCAAAATTAGAGATTAAAGGTATCATTACAAAATGAAAAAATCTGAGAGAGATCCACATGTAGTACCTATATATGTAATATCAAAGCAATTGGACTTGCAATTTTTAACAAGAAGTCAAAAATATCACTTTTTACCAAAAATGACAAAAACATTCACCAAAATTAGAGAATTGAAGATATCATCACAAAATGAACAAATCTAAGAGAGGTCCACCCAAGGTACATATACACCAAGTATCAAAGCATTCAGGCTTGTAGTTTTGAAGAAGAAGTCGAAAAGGTAAAACATTGACACAGACGACAGCGGACAATCACTCATATGATAGACTCCGCTCAACAAAGTCGACAGCGGAACTAAAAATGGTTGAATCTGTTCCCATGTATTTTGGTATTCTAGCATGTGTCCTTATGATATTTAGTACAGCCTCTTTTCTATTTTTGGTATCACACATGCTCTGGCATTACAATCTGACACTCTGACTGTCTGTCAAATAGTGATGTGCAGATCTCCCCAGTAGCAGTTTTTACAACTTAAACACAAAGTAATTATCGTGTCCTGATTCAGAACCTCAGAATTTCTTCTCAGTTTTCATAAAGAAAGCAAAACTGCCTACCATCTAGGTCATTCAGTATGATATATTTCTGTATAACATGATATGGTAACTTTGACTGGCCTTGAATAACCTGTAAGAAATTTGAATTAACATAGTACAATGGCAGAATTCAATGGCATCACCCTGATGATTGTGGATTTATTTTTATGTGTGACACAGTGCATCATGCAGCTGTATTTTTAATGAGCAAAGCAAATGAAAATACAGCATAGATATAATTATTTTAAATACACAAACTACATGAACACCAAAATAAACAGACAGGATTATGTTGTTTTTTTCAAAGATGCAACAAAGCAAATTGTAGTAAGTACATAATAACATTTGGTACTCAGGCATATCGTCTGGTATCTAGTGTAAGAAATAGACAAGGGATGAAGGCTCCAGCCAGCTCATATTTTTTAAACTGGAAAAAACAGACGAACAGAATGAAAAATAAAATCTAAAAAAAATACCAGGCTGAAGAATATTAGTTGCTCCTTCAAATTACGGTTACGAACCAGTTGAGCAAGGCTAACCGAGTCGTGACCTCGATGTGGGTTCGTAACTAGTCTTGTGATTGGTTGTTGACAAACACTGAACAGGCTGA